AAGAAGTGAATGCTACACACGAGTAGTGGGTTAGGGCTCTTATGTGAAACAAATGTAGTACTCTCTACAACCTGGTAGAAGAGTCTGTACGGATCAGTGTTGTTGTTCGGGTCGAGCGGTTCTAAGCTGGGCAGGATTTGTCATTGGACTGGGGAGGAGGGGGAGGAGGAGGAGGAGGAGGAGGAGTGTGAGGGAGTGAGTGTGTGTGGCCTGCAGGTGGAAGTGGAGGTGTTGGGGGAACAGTGGATGTCGGAGAGCCCATCGCTGGACTCCCTCCACCGCTCTTTGGGAAAACCACCGGCTTTGGTCTTGTCGCCGGCGGGCGCAGCTCTCTGAAGGAAGGTACGGAGGAGGAGAGAGAGGAGGAGGACAGGGAGGGGGATGTGGCAGAGGGCAGGGGGCTCCGCGGCTGGCTCTTGATGGGCCGGAAGGAGGAGGGTACGTCGCTGGCGGACGAGGCGCTGCGCTGGAGTGGGTGAGCGTGCAAGGAGCTGCCCTCACCATCCCGCAGTAGACGGGTGTGGAGCGGACTGGAGGGCTCCGAGGCACCTCCTCCGCCACCGCCACCTCCACTCATGCCTTTCAGCTGCTCCAGTGTGTCCAGGACCACGTCGGGGGTGTGTGTATGTTTGGAAGTGCTCTGCCTCTCTGACCTACTGAGCTCACTCAGGGCAGAGCTCATGGACACATCGATGTCCTGCAACAGACACACACACAGTTAACACACAAACGTAGGATAGACAGGGTGTTGAGTGAGTGAAGTGAGAGCAGTACCTGTGAGCTGTGCTCTATCTGGGCGATGACCTCTGGGTCCAGTGGTCTGTGGTTACTGAAGCTCTTGGAGCGTCCGGCTGAAGTTGTCTTCTTTAACTGCGGACTCTCCACCTAAATGTTCATAAAGGCCTCAATTTAAGCCTCATCAGTTTCACATTCATTTGTCGAATGCGTATTTAGACGCAACAGTACCTTGGTCTTGAGTGAGGAATGGCGAGTGACTGAGTTGAGGATGCTGTGAGCGCTGACGGGTCTTTTGTCTCCAGTTTCTTTCACCAGAGCCCCGCCGACCGGAAGGGATGCTGTTCTTACCCCTCCCCCTCCGCTGGTGCCAGGACTGGTACTGTCGCTCTCTGATCCCCGGAATGTTCTTCGAATGCTCCCAGACTCCGGACGCTTCCTCAACCTGGAGGAGACAGATATTTGAGTCATATTTTTTATGACTGACTGTGATGCTGTGATTTATTTCAGTGAGCTGTGTGTGTGCGCCTGTCTGAGCATATCAATCCAATCAAAGGACAAAAAGTGTGAAAAATACAATGAAAACATTTTTATGGTTTTGGGGAATCAGTCGAAGTTTTTTGTATGCTTGCACACTTTTTGGCTCTTAATTGATTTTTACTGTTTAAATTAAACTGCTACACACTTGTTCAGGTTGGCCAGGTAGATGTCAGCCACATGAGCTCCAGTAGGAGAGGCAGCGCTCCCTCTAGTGGAGACCCTCTCCTCCAGCAGGTCCCTGGAGTCGACATCAGGCTTTGGACTTCCCCGACCTCCATCAGACCTGAAACGATCGTTCTGTACTTTACAAATTGTTGTGAAAGTCAAAGCTGGCTTTTGTGCCACTTAAATTTGAATTAGAAACCTCTGTACTGTACTCTTGACAACTCTATCCAAACAGGCCAGAGAAAAATGACTTACGAAAGAGCTGTGATTGAACCGTTTCTCTGCTGCACTACATGAATAATTTAAACACAAACCCTCACATGACCCAATAGAAAAGCAGTGGCAACTTAGAGGGGGTGTTGTCTGTTATGACAGATGGTCAAGATAACTTTTTTACTCACACAGTGTAGACCAACAACTGAGCCTCACACACTGTTTCAGGCAGAATCACAGAAGCTATTCCGCAGTAAATCCCTGTAGTTACCGTAGTCCTCTACTAAGCAGCTGTACAGAAATCAGACACATGAGTCACAGCGTTGTGTTCACTTCATAATTTTTCAGGTGGGATATTTGGGGATTGAAACCATCCCTCTTGTGTTTGCTACTTTACAGCATACACACAGCTGTGAAAATGCAGACACTTGTAGAAACAGGAGCGTCTACCTGAATGAACATGACAGCTGAAAAGAAAATGATATGCAAATTTCAATTCCTGAGTTACAGGGATTTCCAGTGGACTACCTTCTGTGTCTACTTACTTACTAGGGTTGGAGATTATTTCTGTTCATGTTTTTGTAGAAGGCTCTTTACCCAGAGTTTGTACTTCCCAAAACTGTGCTTCATACATGGTAAGGAAATATTGTCGAGATCAATATTCATGAAAAATAAGACACAGGTTGACAGCTACTGTGTTTCCCTTGCGAATGCTGTACGTAATTTTTCCCCACTACCAAACAGTGTGTTGCTGGGCGTGGCTGTTGGTGATGGTCGCTTGCCAAGAGCTTCATCCATCATTGCATTTCCAAGAAAGTTATTATGTCTTCTGAGAAAGATGATTTCTTTAGTGCAGACAGTGACTCACTATCACAAAATACAGCAGCTGGGATGGGCCAGGGCTAACTGGTTAGCAACTAGCTGCTAACTTCAGTAGAAACAATGACGTGATACTATATTATATTGTTGTTGCCTTCTACTCAGTGAGCAAAGTAATAAAGCTTGATGCTGAACTTGCGTTTCTATTAATACCAATGTTGGCGATGTAGAAACAGAAAAAAAGGATAAATCATCTGCATTATTATCATAATCTTCCTTGCTCAGATATTGAATTGACTGGAACACATCTTACATGTCTTGGACCACAATATACTGGTGTGGCACCAGTCCATCCACTCCATTGTGCCGTCCCTCCCACCAGTCATCAGAGGCTCGCTGATACAGAAGCAGCGAGGCACCCTTTTTGAACGACAGCTCTCGGTTTGTCCGTCCGGAGTAATCAAACCGAGCTATGGCCTCGATCGGGTCGGACTCTGAAACAGTCAAGGATCCTGAGATTCAGAGAATGGTGGACAGAGACAGGAAGTGACAGAGAAGCCGACGGCAGCAACAAATGAGAGAAAAAGAAAAGAGGTGGAAGCCAGATTAGTGCATAGCAGGTTAGTGCTGCTGTATATGGTGACAGTGCAACAGTTAAAAAAATGCTGAGCAGTAACAAAGCAGCATAATAACCAGGTTACTGGATTTAAAGGTTACAGCCAGAGTAACTGGTGAGTAAAGCAGGGTGAGATCTCATAAAATGGTGACAATGTGTGTGTGTGTGTTATTCACCATCTTCACTGTTGTTCCTGACAGAGACGGTGTCAGGCGCAGGCTCTTCCACAAGGGGGGGCTCACAGTGTGGACTGTCACTGAAGTGGACACAGATGGCAAATAACGTTAAGAGGACACAACCACAAATTTTTCACACCGTCAACGTCTTGATGACTTGCAGCTTGTGCTCATATCCGTCTGTATTCTATTTTTTTGCACATCCTTCAATTGTGGCCGTGGCCCTCTGGGTGCAAAGAAAGCCCAGCTATGCCAGTGTGATAAAATGTTCTGTCTACACTTTCCACAGCTGAGACTGAGATCAGGTCCGTCTGTGTGACTTACAGCCTAAACAACTGCTCTGACTGGCAGTAATCATAATAACTGGAGCCGAGGCTTGTTTTTACAGAACAATTCAAAGTTGGTCGTTATATGTGCATTGTGGTGCATGAGCGTAGGCGTTGGTGTGTGTGTGTGTGTGTGTGTGTTTGTGTGTGTGTTTTGTGCTCTCCTGGGCTGCTGTGGTCAGGAGGTACTTTAATCTCCTATGTGATGGAGAGTAAGCTGATCCTCGTGGCCCCCCGGCCCTGAGCAGAGCAGACAAGCTGAGCCCCCATCACTCTACAGCAGCCCCCAAATCAACCACCTACACCCCCCTCTGCCCTTCTAACTCCCCTCATATACATCTACCTTCTGTTCCCCCCAGCTCTTACCAGAAATCTTCTCCACTTCCAGGGATGGTGTAGATGGGGCCCTGCAGGTCCGGCTGTCCAGGGAAGATGGTGTTGTGGTGGATGATGATTGTCTTGATGAGCTCATTGACATGAGCCTGGCAAGAGACCTGGTCGTTGCCCTCTGGGACAGACATCAGGGTGGGGCCGAAACAGATGGCCAGGTTGTAGGGGTCCATCATGTTATCCTCGCTGTACTGAGACAGGCTGAGCGGAAGGGAAAGCAGAGTCATTCAGAGGGCATCATCTGATCCTTTTCTTTTAAACATATAATAACGATATATATACAAAACTGACTACCCACACAAACAGCCTTGACATGCCATTTATAGCTTACATCACACAGCTTGTAAATACGCTGTGATCTGCGTGACTCTGAATGCACAAGGTTCAAAAGTAAACACTTTCCAAACCTGCCTCAATTCATCCATTCATTTATATGAAGTGGCGATGGAGAGACTCTGATGGTGTGTCTGTGTTTCAGTGTGTGAGAAGAAGCAGGAGCATTGAAGAAGCTCCTCTGTATCTGGCATCACTCGGTTTACCCAGGAGTCTCAAATTTCAGGTTTCCTTCATCTTTCACTCCCTGTTGCTACCTTCCTTTACTGAAAGGCTTTGTCAAGGATTTTAGGGATTGATTGGACAGTGAGGAATGTGTGTGTTTGTGCGTGTGTCTAAAACGGATGATTTAGAATAAATTAAACTAAAACTACACCAAAGCACACATATACAGAAAAAAACTATTCCCTTTAAATCTTTGTGACACCGGCTCATATATGATTCTCTATTTAAACTGCCTCCAGGGGCATTGCAACAGGGCAGGCAATGCAGGCAATTGCCTGTGGCCCCGAGCTGAGAGGAGGCCCCAGAGAACGGCTGATTCACAGCAACGATACTTATGTGAAAACCCCCTTAAATTCTATGATTGGCTGTGTACAGGAGGAAACAGCCTAATGAGGCCCCATGCCAATAGCTTTCTGCCTTAAGTTTAGAGTAGAGGTTTGCTTGAAAACTAGAATGTCTATCATGTATCCTGGGTTGATTTGGTTTGATGTAGGGCCCCCCTGGTCCCTTTTGCCTGGAGCCTCTGATGTCTCTTGAGATTCTCCTGACTGTGACTGAGAGTAATTATTTTCTCATCTGTCCAAGCTGAGTTTTCTTTCGGTGAAGTTCGTCCTTGTCTTTTTAAAGAGTGTGAGTGGCTGATTTGAATCCCATTTAAACACTATATGTGGTATTGGACCATACAAATAAACTTGACTGTAAGTAGGAAATAAACTTTCTCAAGGAAAAAAAGCTTCCTGTTAAGTGCTGCAGGGGCCGAAACATTCTTTGCAGTTTAGACTTTAATGAGGACGAGTTTCCACATAGGTTAAAGAAAGTTTATTTGGTGTGAAAAGGCCAAATAAACACATTCTGGTGTTTATGAAACTATTGCATGTGTGTGTGTGTGTGTGTGTGTGTGTGTGGCGTTAGGAACTGAAATGTTGTATCAGGCTTTGTTACATTTATAGATTTCATAAACTATTATAAATTTAGTGTCTAAATAGCAGCAAGAGTAAGAAGTGCCGTCTTTTGAAAAGTTTATATAATAGTAGTTTTGAGCATCTATTGTATGTAGTAATTCATTCTGATCTGTTGTTACTGTGTGTGGGCTATATTGGAATCCAATTTTAAATATACGAACTTGACAGTCAATGACGGATGCTTTATTGAGACTTATTTGTCGCTATTTGTGGAAGATCTTTGTTAATCAAACCTGACCCTTTGCACCCTTGCACATGCACTCAGCGTTTGAGTTAAAGTCACAAGATTGTTAGATTATTTCTGTGGTTTCTCACCAAGTTTCCTATTGTCTTGCCCTGTGTGTGTGTGTGTGTGTGTGTGTGTGTGTACTGCTACTCACTGGTTGAGGAAGGCGAACAGGTATCTCATGATGACGAGCGTTTTGCTTGGCAGAGACTGCAGAACTTTCTTAATGTGGACAGCCCGCTCCTGGAGGCTCTCCATCGCTGGAAAATAACACCGCCACGACGCCCAGGAGATTATTAACACAATCAAGGGCAAACCCGAGAGATAGAGACAGAAGTATGCAACACTTACAGACACAGGATATGACGTCATGAAAGATTTCTTTAGGGAAGAGGGCGTGGTCCAGCCCTCTGAAGTAGAGCTTCAGGACACCAGCAATGGAGTCCATGTCGTGGTCATTCTGGTCCCCAGCCAGCGGGTCCTCACCTACAACCGGATGAGCAGCGTGGGAGGGGGGGGGGGRGAAAAAATTAATAAAAACACAGGGTAAACAGATTCTCTTCAAAATACTTGTTGTTCCTGTCGGATATTGGTTGTACCTCTCTCAAATGCATTCTTGATGTCGTTGACTTCCACCTGAGAGCCCGACACTCTGAAGATGCCCTGATGCTGCAGACCTACACAGTCCCAAACAAAGACCCTTCATTCATTTTCAGAATTGCGCTCGTACTAGTGGATATTTTAGTTGTTTAAAGCTGAGACGTTCTGGTAAAATTCCCAGTTTCATTTTATCCTGAACCAATCACACTTGACAAAACACTTCAACCAATCAGCACATGGGGAAAGCCGATGCTAAACCTATCACTTCACTGAAGAATTTCGCTCACCATGGCGACTGATGAAGCAGATGCAACTCTCAACCATCAGAGGAATGACCTCACCCGAGTCCTAAAATAGGGGGGGAGAGGAATTACTGTCAGTGAAGGAAGAGACAAGACAGGAGACTGGTGTGGACATGACACACAGTGCACTGCTTGTCAGGAGAATTTCCACACACGTCTATGCACGCACATGCATCGGTGCACACATTTAGGTGGAGTGGGGAGACATGGGGGAGAAAGGGTGGGCACAGTACCCAGCTGTTGCTAGGAGACAGAGCTTTTCCCTTTTCCCTTTGTTTGCTTGGGGTTTCCAGAAATCTCTGGGAGGTGAGGCTGTGGAGTGCATGTTGAACAATATATATATATATTATTATGTGAACACAGTTGTGCTTTTATATGTTGACTATGAGACTGTTATTTGAAATGAACAGCTGATTTCTCGGTGAAGTGAGAGCTTATAGGTAAAACATTAAATCATCCACAAGAGGGAGCCACAAACATGAGATACTCCAACTGAGCACCATTTATTTCAATTTGTTTGACAATACAACTGCAGACCAGCTGATTCTCATGTAGTTATGGACATATTGTATATATTGTGTATTTATGCTGTCATCCTGTGGGCCGAGGATACTGTGAGACAACATGGGGTAAGTTACAAAAACAATTATAGCTACTATAGGCAGCAATAGACATTTTTAAGGAAGTGTAGGAGGAAGATGAAAAAAAGAGGAGGAAGAGGAAAACAAAGAGGTAAATTAACTTTCCACGATGCATTTTTCTTGAATAGACATTAGCAGAGTTATTGTGCTTCATCCAGGGTTTGAGCTCACAATCTTAGACTCTAAAGGCAAGTGATGATCTAGAAGGTGCTACCTGCCAGGTCACTTCACTTCACTCATAATGTTACTTGACACTATGACCATAGGTTTCTGCTCAATTCGACTTATAATTTGGTGAAAATTGCAAATAATAATATAGCAAATACAATAAAAATAACAACATTGAGACAAACAAGAGGGACCAGCAGCACAGCAGTCCGGCCCCTAAAAATCTCACAGACATACAGACAAATCTTATGACAGATAATTACCTGATTCCGTACTGTTGAGTTTCTCCGTCCACTATGCAGAAGGAGAGAGAGGGGAGAGAAAGTAACAGCACTCTGTCATTATGTCTTCAGAGAAAGTCTATTTATGCTCACAACTCTGGTAATGCTCTATTTGTACACTCTGAGACACATGCACATGTGTTGAGAATATCTATAAACAGTGAGTGGGAAAATAATACCCCTGGTTGCCAAGAAATCAAGCTTAAATGTCACTATGGTATATGCAAGTGTGTGCACGTGTGTGTGTGTGTGTGTGTAATCATATTTCCTTCCTTCACCACACCTACCTGGCAAGGCAACAGTCAGTCTTCTGACCTAAGAGGGAGAAAACAGGAAGGGGGAGGGGGGGTGACAGGAAAGAGAGAGAAAGAGATAGGCGATTGTAGTAGAGGCAGGACATATGAGGAAACAGCTTCAGATGGAACGGAACACGGAGCAAACCTCCCTTTAAAGCTTCCATTTTCCTGTAAGCTTGTGGAAACACAGACACATCCAGCGCCCCCCCCCACCCAAATACACACCAACACACACGTAAACATACAGCTGCATCCACATATGGTCGCTGTCACTGTGACCTGGCCCTGCACACACACAGCTTGTGATTATCAGATGCATTAAACTCAGTCTGCTTCACTGCATGGGATGTGATGTGTCCCGATGTGCCGCTTGTTTCCTCTGATGTGCTCCCTGCTTTGCCCAGGGGCACCAGACCTTTCCTGAACCCATCTCCCTCCCGCAAGGACAATATCTAGCAAGGTATGAAGGACACTCTGGCCGTCCCCACTCACTCTCTCCCAGGGTTTTCTGGATGAGGTCATGCTTGGCGTCCAGTTTGGTGATCAGGTTCCTGCCTTCCAGAAACTCTTTCAGCTTCTGCGACACACAAAGACACGCGCACTTAAGTCCTAATTCCAGAAGATTATATTTCTAACAGCAGTAAAGCTGTCAACTTTTCAATTGATCCGATTAATGCTGAGAGATCGTCGATATTCATAACTGCCACCGACCGTGAAGTAAAACTGCTCCGTCTCCTGCTGATTGGCCCGTCTCTTGGCCAGACTGGGCTTGCTGAGATAGGATTCGCTGAAAGAGGACTTGACAGATTCCATGCTGTTGCTGTGGTGGAAGCACTCAGAGACGTCATAGTCCTCCACTGTCACCATATCTTGGATGGTGGACAGAGTGGCCTCCATAGTTTTCTTCACCTGGAAGAAGACAGACAAGACAGTTACAAAGGGGCTGGATGAAGACAAAGATTGATTAATGATGTTAGAGAAGCAGAACGATGCAAGACCTCTTCATTCTCAATCTTGAGTGTGGACAGACGGGACTGCAGCTGCTGACACCTCTGCAGCAGCTCACTTTCCAGTGGCTGCCGTCCACACATCACTCCCATCTACAAACACAAACATATTATAACACTGATGTTTGAAAATGCACTCCCTCTGTCTGAGCCCAACAAGAGCATGTGCACTTTACCATGTCGCCCATGTGGGACTGGAAGTCAAAGCGAGCTGGGGGGCAGAAGACATTGTTGTAGGTCTCCATCAGTTTCTGTTTGTCCCCATTGGGCTCCAGACTCTCTGCAGCTCCCTCCAGTGTCTCCAGGCCCGTGTGTTTGGACGTCTCCACGTTCTGTTCTGCAGATAAGTAAGTCCTCAGGGCGCGATGCAGGCTGGCATGGTAGCCCAGGTCACAGCACTGGAAAACACACACAAAGACATATGAATACATGGCATGAAAGGTAAGCATTGTTGGTAAGGAATGAAATTCGATACAGATTTGTCACCTTGTGTGGTTTGATTTTTGACAGAGAGAGAGAACCACAGGAAATGAAATATAAAGTTCCCTGCAGCATCCAACCAGGGATATTAAAATTACATTTAATCTAGTAATTGCACCAAGCCATGAAGGCAGTGTTGACCATGTATGTATGTTTTTGCTATTGTGAGTTTAGCATCACACTTCATTCCTTTGCTTACCAGGAGCGAGGTGTTGGAAACCATATTAACTCTTGCGTTGATTCGTCATTTCTGTGCTTATACTGAAGCCAACATGCTAACAAGCTACCCCCGGACAGCCTCGTGACTTTATGGTAGCGAGACATTGCAGAAGCAGCACATGGTAACATTGATAAACAAAAATACAAACTATACAGGGAAGTTTTGCTTTCCTCTTCTGCAACACCCAGCTTACACATTTGCAAGTAGCAGCTGCCCAATACAACAACAATCTTAATCTGTTATCCTCCACAGCATAAAGGTCAGATCAAAGACATACACAAACTTTACAGATGGGAATCAATGTTCATTATTTCAGACAGGTCGCTACCTCCTTAACGTGTTTCATGACCTACATGGTTACATTTCTCCAGGTGGTAACTGCCAGACTAAGAAAAATTGTAATAAACATTAGGGAGGAAAACTAATATTGTGAATTCCACTTACTGTGGTTGAAGGCACTGACACATTTATTGAAACTGTGCTCTGATAAAAGAGTGAGAGAATAAACACCTGCTATCCAGCAGGCAGTGAAATGTTATTATTGAGAAGAGGGTGAATGGTTTCCATGATAGCACACTGTTTTAGACACTGCACACTATGATGGCACAAAGACCCAGAGGAGAAAACATGGAGAGGGAGAGGAGCCAACCACTTTTCATTCAGAGCACTGAGGCTAATGTGAATAGACTGGCTGAGGGGCCACCACTGGCTCAAACATACACGCACGCACGGACATACACACAGCACACAACATGCCTAAGATTGGTAACTGCTCCCACAGAGTAACCAAGCGTGTTTATACTCACGTCAATGATGTCGGAGAGGTCATGGATGTAATATTTGAAGACACAGCCATTGGTGGCTTCAAGAGCCAGCAGGTACTCATTCCTGGCCTTAATGGCCTTCAGCTTGTTCTCCGTGTACTTAGCTTGTCTCTGTTAGGAGAAAGAGAGAGGGAAAGAGATTGAAAAAGGAGAGAAGTAAAGAAATGAGACAAGAATGAAAAGTGCAGGGTAATGACACAGAGAGAGAGAGACAGGAAAGGAAGGGAAAGGGATAATAGGTGTTGGAGTGAAACGCCTCAGTATTGATTATGGATAATAATAAGTGTTGAACCATGTAGCTGTGACAGGCCCCAGATGTATTCGACAAGGTTAGCAATGAGCCCGTCCTGCACCCATAAATCATTTATGAGACACGCACATAAGTCAGCATGACAACAGGTGGAGCGCCACAGAAACAGCTTTCCACCATTCCCCGCTCCCCAGACAGACCAGGCTCTGCTCACCTTCTCCTTCATCTTCTCGATTTTTTTGACACTGGAGCGTCGAACAGGTTTCTCGTCAGACTTGATGCTGGACAGTGTGTCGGGGGAGCGCGGCGTCTGGCGGTCATCCTGTCGTCCGGAGCGTCCCATCTGCTTCTCCTCTTGCTTTTCAGCATCCTTCAGCTTGGACTCAGCATTCATGCTGTCCGTGTTGTACATGTGGTACGTCTTCATCACCTGGGAACGAGAGGGCATCTTGAGATCATGAGATATATGTAGCTACACAAGCGTTAATGTGCATTTTCCCAGTGAGTCTCCTCCTTAAGCCCTGAGTCCGGATCACAAATGGGATTATGGCGTTCAGCATTGTGAAAAGAATGGAGCACTGAGGCCTCGAGCGCTGGCAATAACACAATATTACAGTCAATGAGTCACAGACGGAACCCTCTCTACTGTACAAGACTACTGTGCCTGGACATGGTGGTATGACTTTAACATGATGAGTTAAACACATGAAACAAGTGTGTGTGTGCAGTGTCAGCCTTATTCTGATGACCACCACCAGAGCCATCATTATATTCCTCAAACCCTCCTCAAAACACTACAGTCAGAATCACTGGTCTGTCTGTGAGTACGCATGTGAGAAAGTTCGCGTCACTCAAACCAGATCTATTTCTGTCTCTATACAGTGTAATTACAGCTTAAGACCTGCTTTTAAGGGCTGGCTGAGCTGAGGCTCTATGGTTGCTGCTCCGAGCCATGATGTAGTAAGAAACTTTGCCCACAAACACACACTGAAACACACACTGATGGCCTCAGTCCTTTTGGCAGCACCATGGACATGTGTAACCAGACACTATGATGCCCCTGACAGCGTGAGAGGACCAAAACAACAGACTGCCAGTGATTATGTCTGAAATATCAACATCATTAATGAGCAGAAGTCTGCACAACATCTTTCAGAAACACATGTACAAGTATATACAGTATATGTGCTAAATGTAGGCAGACTGGTGCTATGTGCTAAATTCCAATGACCACAACCATGCTAGCACGCTGATGTTTAGCAGATATAATTTTTACCCGGCTTTATTTAGCATGTTAACGTGCTTACATTCACAAATTAATCATTAACAACAACTGAGGCTGAAGAGAAGGACATTAGTTTTGAGGGTTTCCTATCATTCACCAACTTTAATTAAAACAAATCTAAATGGTGGTGTTATGTACTCTACTGATAGTCGTATTTTAAATTTGACTTGCAATTGCTCCTTGTAGAAAAGTACAAGAAAAGAACCTTGGGATTTGAAATATGCTGTTCCATAAGTTAATAAGAACTTTATTAAAGCTTTGCATTACATACTCCTGTGAGACTCAGACTGCTGACTGTGGCACCACAAGTCACAACACCTACTTATGGATTCCCACGTTGTGAGTGTCACTGCAACGGCTTCTCTTACCGTGTAAAGCTCATTGAGAACTTTCATCAGATCTTCCTGCAGCTGTACGCCAACCTCTTTGCTCTAGAGAGACAGAGGAAAGAAGACACATTAACGTCAATGCAACACTCAAACCATTAGTGTCATTACTCGCTGTTTCTACCAAGTGTCCATTTACAGGCTGTTCATATCTCTGTCTAACTAATGACGTACACAGCCACTCAGCCACGTGGTCAACAAACAGCCCCACCATCAATCAAGGCTAGAAAATCTGGCTGAACAGGACTGGGTCAGTCGCTGGAAGGAGCAAAGTGATGGTTGACTTGATGGATGTGGAGTTAAAGGAGGAAGCTACAGATACTGATCACTAAATGATGGCAGGGAGGCAGGGGGAGTAAGACAGGGGGGAGTAAGGGGGAGAGGATGGGGCCCAAGACCAGGCAGCAAAATGACGGGAAGTAATACAGGCAGTACCATTCTCCAGTCATAACTGCAGGGAGCTACTAGTGACGGATGACTTCAGCAACCCACACATCAGCAGACTCCACACACATTCATAGCTTTTCTCATACATTTGCATGAATTTTGTCAAAATCGTATCAATTATTTAAGGTGGGGTCGGTGAGTGGTTTCTCAAACACTTTGTAACTTATTTGTTTAAATCCTCTTTACACCTTGATAACCATCAATAAATTCATTTGTCTGGAAAAAAAGCCTCTGTGTCTGTGGCCCTCACAGGAATCAACATTCATTTGTATGGAATGAAATGATTTGCTGGTGTAACTGTCTGTCAATAACTTCCCTTGAGCATCCAGTCTGTGCTCAAACTGCACATGACCGTAATCTTCACAAACCAAAGAGACGTACAGAAGCAGAGATGATAGCCAGAAGTTTGTGAGTGAGTCATTGAAAAGTCATCTTCTAGCAGTTGTCAGGCAGGGAGTGTTTATGTGCTTTGGGGGAGTAGCTTTGACGAGAGGGCCGATGGGATAACGATTGCATTTTGTGCAGGATGCTCTTATTAGCTTTTCCAGGATTACCCTTGCTTTATAAGGATGTAATTTAAACTGGGTTTTAATGATGAAAAGAGAGACAGAAACTTCACATTTCACATGTAACACATTGAAACAGAAACATCTGTCTTTCTCTGGAGGAGGGCAGAGCAAAGACCGGGATTGTATCGGGGTGTCAGAGGTGAACTGTTTAAAGAAAGGTGTGATAAGAAAGAGAGTCTGGGCTTGTGGAGAAAAAGGAAACAGAAATCATTTTGATGAATTGATGTTGCAGAGGGAGAAAGTGACACAAGGAGAAATTTAGGGTTCTGCAGCAGATGAAGGCGGTAACAGGATAACTGAGGTTGTCCCGCCCTCGCTCTTTAAAGTGCTGCAGGAAGCTCATATTAGGTGACATGCTGCCAGACTGCAGCCAGTCAAAAAGCAATGAGCCATGGCTGAGCCCTCCTATCTATCAACCGTTCATCTTGACCGTTGGACTTTTCATCTTGCCTGTGGTCGTCTAGTGAGGGTTCAGCAAAATCACAACTGAAACAAGCAACCAGCACACTTCATTAGCCCTGACGTCTGTGCACTCATTAATGCTCAAACGCTCTCTCTGTCCGTAAATCTTATCCAAAACCTCCACTAACAGTATCATTCTACACCACTTTTCACACTGGCTGAGAGGAATGTTGACTTCTCTAATATGGCTTGTGGTTTTTGTCTCCATGAGTTGTGTGCATCATGAACCCTGGCACTACTGGTTTTTATGCCTTTAACTGGAAATGCTATAAACAAACTAATTGTCTACTTAATTAACCAGCAGAATATTCTCTCTCTTTCTATATGTGTGTGTGTGTGTAGCCTATTTATGACCCAGACATGATGAAAGCAACTCTCTTGCCAAGGAGCAACCAGAAAAATAAAAATAGAAATCAACCTCCGTGACTCAACTGAGGCTGAGAGCCAGAGAAAGTGCTTTTTAATATTCTTTTTTAGTACTGCTATATCAGAAAAGCAGTAGAAAGAAAGTGGAGGTTTGTGTGTGTGTGAGTAAACCTGCGATCAGATGGTAAATGCAGTTCAAAGACAAATGAAAATCAGGAGTCTGTGCCACAACATTCCACTCACAGACTGCTTCAATTTCCACACAAACACACACTTATCTTGCTACACTTATGGGGCTTTTTCTTTCCATCCTCACTACATACTTTACTTAAATATTTACCTCAAGTTTAACCTGTAATTTTTAGTTATTTAATTTAACCTGCAAGCCGAGGTAAAACCAGTTTGATAAAACTTTGAAAATTACATCACTCTTTAAATCTTTTCTCACATCACAACCTGTGCAGACCAAAAAAGGATTCATGAAGAAAACAGGAAAATTACTATTTCCTGAACTCACTTTCCTATTCTAAAGTTACAGGGGATGGATAGCCTTCTTTTAAAGGATCATCCCTCAGAAGTTGCCTTCAGGCATGCACTGAAGATTTGCCTGACATTTTTTGAAGGGCCTTCATGTGAGACCGCCAATGTCTGACGTCGGTGTCAATGTGCCATAAACAAAAGCATGTGATTTCCCGCTGAATTACACGTTTACTGCCTCCTGCATGCTTTAACAAGACTTTACCCCTCATTCATGTCTGAAAGATCTGGTGACTGCCATTCAGTGACCCTTTAAGCCTTATGAACGGGGCATTGTCATCCTGCTTCTCTGCTCATTTTTCCTTTTTAAATAGAAACAAAAACAGAGAATTGCTGTGCTTTAATGCAGTATGTGTTTTTGTATTAGGTCCATCCTGGAGATGTCTCCCAGGGGAGACCTCAGTCATGGCATGCTGGCTACACCAGGTCACAGCGAGCTCTGATCTCCAGAGAAATCACCACCTTTCTCTTCCTCCCTCAGGATGACACCGTCTTTTCCTTGCCACTTCTCTTTGTTCTTTATGTTTCTGCTCCTCCTTCACATTTCCTCTGTCTTGTCTCTGTCTCCTCAGAGCCAAGCAATGCAGAGATCAGAGGACAAGAATGAGGCTACTGTATGAACAGACGGCATAAACTCTCCTGGCCTCAGGTTCAGCTGACGTGCTGTCAGTCAATAAGTAAGCCAAGACAGAAAACAGATGCTGGAGGGGAAAATGGACAGTGCAAAAATGTGGCTTGGATTATAGCATATCAGGTTGAAGTTGCATTCTTTTCTCCTTCAGTGTTTGAAGGAGGAGCATATTCTACCAGTTGAACAAAAAATCCCCCTCCACACATGAAAAAGACTTTGAAAAACGTCTAATCCCCACACTGAGCAGATTGAACAAACCAATGTGAGTGAATTCCTGCTGTGTCTGTGTTAGAGTGTGTACTTGCCTTCTTGAAGAGGCGTCCTGAGTCCTCGCTGATCTGTGCAAAGCGGGGAATGATGTTGTTGAGGTAGAGGTCGGACAGAGTGGCGTGGTCGCGGCTCTCCCTCTTCACCTGAAGCAGCAACAGGTTCCAGCAGTTCACAGGAGACAAAATGCTCTGCTCCTTCCTACAAGCACACACATAGACACAGGGAGTCTTAAAATATATTCAAAGACCTCTGAGCAAATGTTTAGATAAATGACGACGAGCACGAAGTCTGTTTCATCTTTCAAGCTCCTGACAGATGCACACAAACCTGTAAAATGTGGAGACAAGAATACTGCACAAAAAACACACTAGTCTGGACTGTTGAAAGATCAGACAAGATACTGGGATAAAAGACAAAGAGTGCAGGGAGTGAATGCCCAGACAGATTTATGCTTAAAATGGCCATGCTCTCTCTTTAACACACACACACACACAC